AATGGGCAAGTCGCTAGTAACAATGTTCGGATCATCTTCTTCCCACAGGTAACGGATCTGCGACTCGTCAATTACACCTGTCCTGAACCTCTTGTATTTCTTGATCTGGTCCACGATGGGCTGGATCCTGATCTTTAACAAATTCAGGGTCTGGTGATCTTTCTTCTTCTGGGCCTTGAGCTGCTCCTTGGTCGGAGGCGGTGCGGGCTTCGGTGGAGGAGATGGTGCAACCTCTAGTGTCTCGAATTCTCTTCGTTTACGATTTTCGGGATCTGGAAATTCAGACGGCGAGGTCTTGACGTAGTCGATCACCCTACCGAAGAACTCATATCGAGCATCATAATCCGGGGCCTTTAGGTCGTATAAGTTCTTCTTCGAGAACCCGAACATGTTGCCCAGCAGTCCACTATCCACCTCCTCACCGGACAACTCCAAGACACCGAACAGGAGAACAGGATCTGAAGCGGGAACAGATCGTAAAAGGCCCAGGAAAGTAGATATGACCGTCGGTCCGACGGTATCAAGCCAAGACTGAAGGTTTGGGATGTATATCACGCTGGGTTTGTGCCTCTTGACCTCTTGGAAGAGCCGTATGACGGCTGCTTCGGGAGATCTGGTTGAGTCACTGAGCAGGGTCGGAAGGTCAAAAGCTTGAACGTGCAGTCCCTCAAAATGATGGAGGATGGCGCCTGCAAGATGTTGCTGGCCCATGCCAAAAGGCCCACGCACCAACATCCTGGGACGGTACACTCTGGAGGTATCAAATTCTTGCTGCATCTGCTCACGGCGAAAGCTTTTTGGTCCTTCAGGTTCCTCAAATTGAGCTTCCTCGAGAGCCGTGAGCCTCTTTCTTTGTGGGAGTATTTCGGATAAAATGGTTTTGATATCGGATAATGGTCTACGAAGCAGAGGCTCAACGGGCTTGGGTAGAGGAGTAGCACCGGAGGAGGCAGATCTCTCAGATGAGGGGACCATCTTCTTAATAGCCAGCATGAAATCCTTCGGAGTGACATCGATTTTCTTGGGATCGATGAGAAGCTTTCGATCTGACTTGTAAATTTGAGGATATCTCCTCTGAACTGCGTTGAGAGCAGCCTCGGTACAAAGAGCACGGAGATCGGCTCCGCCATAGCCCTTCGTTATCTCGGCCAGTTCGTCCTTGATGTGATCAGGGAGAGGTGGGTCCCACCCTTTGGTATGGATATCCAAGATTGCACGCCGACCTTCAGTATTGGGCAACGGGAAGTAAAACTCGCGATCGAAGCGGCCAGGACGACGCAAAGCAGGGTCAATAGAGTCCGGTCGATTTGTAGCTCCAATGACAATGACTTGGCCACGGCCATCCATACCGTCCATTAACGCCAACAGAGTCGACACGATGGAGGCATGGATCTGTTCCTGCTTGCTTGATCTTACGGGGGCCAGTCCTGCCGAGCGGATGAGCGACATACAAGCGTGGAAGTCGGCAAGCACTTACCGTCTATTTCATCAAAAAAGATGATGCTGGGTTGAGTCTTTCGAGCCTCTTCAAAGAGCAGCCGGAGCTGCCTTTCAGCCTCACCGACCCATTTACTCAGCGCATCCGCACCCTTTCTCATGTAGAATGTAACTTTGCGACCCTCGGAGCTAACACTGTTGGCCAAGGCCCTTGCCAACAGCGTCTTACCTGTCCCAGGGGGACCGTGGAAGAGGACACCTCTTGGCGGCACGATGTGAAAACGTTGGAAGATCTCGGGGTAAAGGAGCGGAAGGGAAACCATCTCTTTCAACTGATCGATATGCCCCTGTAGGCCGCCAACACTGTCGAAATTGACATTAACGTCAACACCCAAGGGATCGGCATCAGCAAGCGCCTGCTTATCCTTGATTTTCCCTAGATTGGCAGGTGTTCCGGATGGACCTTGTAGAGGATCGGCTGAATGGGTTTGCGCTGAAGCAAGAAGACCTGCACCTGGAGGTCCGGACACAGAGCCGCCAGTCGCAGCGCCCTTGGGATGTTGCATTACTTCATCGTCGCTACTATCGCTGTCGACACCCCCTGTCGCAGCAGGTGCGCCAGGAGGAGCCAGAATCGCTGGTGGCCCGCCGCCTCCGAAAGGTCCATATGTCGGGAAAAGTGTGCGCTGCCAACTGCCGCCTCCGCCTCCCCGACCTCGCCGTGAAGGAGATTCGTTGACGTCGTTCTCGGCTTCCTCTATTGGTAGGATGAGATCTGGTCGAATGATCCGGTAGTCGACATCCTTCCGGCTGCGCCTTGGTTTCTCGTAAACGATATCTGTCTGAAGCCTCCTGCGGGGTCGATCTCCTCTGAGATCTTCCAACTCCTCAGCAAGCTCCTCGGCAATATCTCCTCGTACTTCAGACTGTCCACGGGAGCGAGAAGCTCTCTTACGCAGACCAGGACGCCGCCCGGCGGTGCTATCCTGCTCCTCGTCATCTCGAGCTTGACTGGCTTTGCGTGGTGATCCATGTGACTTTCCGGACTGAGAGAGCTCTTCGTCGTCATTCGACTCGTCTTCCTCAGGCTCAAAATCGCTCTCGTCATCTTGTCGCTTTCGCTGAGAGCTTCTGGGTTTCTTGCGGCCGGAGCGACGTGGGTGTGCTTCCTCCTCTTCGTCGGGCTGCACTTCTTCGGTGGGCTGACTTCGACTTCGCCTGCTCCTCCTCCTCCGCGTTGTTGGACCTTCGTCGTCCTCATCGTCCTCCTCTTGATGCTTCACATCGCCATTCTCGGATTCGGGCACGATTCCAACCTCGTCTCCTTCTGCTGCACCTTCGCCGCTGTCCTGCCCCGATGGAACACCTTCCTCGAAATCGCCTTGGTGATCGCTTTCCATGATCTCTGGTTGCGAAGCCTTGACCTCCATCGAAGTCTCCTCTATAGGCTCGAATATTTCCGGTTTCTCATCAATTTCGACCTTTTCAGGGCCAAAATTGAGACGTTTCGAGGCGCGAGACCCACGCCGGCTTCTCCGCGCTTCCATCTCCGGACTGTGTGTACCTCGTTCCACAAGCTCCATATGGCGGCCGGAGTTCGTCAGGGCGACGATATCCTCTGAAGGGTCACGGGTACGACGAGTCATCCGCCTGCCGCTTTCAGGGAGAGGCTGGCGCTTGAGAGCGTTCACTTTCAATGTCACGACGGTGCTTTTGCGTTTCTTCGGCGAACGGGTGGGCTCGGAGTCATCTGCCTCTTCGAAATCATCTTCGTGGCTGCTGGAATCGCCCTCATTATACACCGGTCGATTAGTCGCAGCCCTCCGGGCGGTGAGGCCTCTTGCATTCTTCGGTGCGTTGGGGTCTTCTTCATCCTCCTCATCGAAGTCAAGCTCGTCCGCATCATCTAGAATATCATCGTCGTCGGACGTGATATCGTCGTCAGAATGGCGACGCGCTCTCTTCTTCGTTGGCTTGGGCTTCTTCCTCGACTTCGATCGAGCAGAGTGGCGAGATGAGCGCACTGGATGATCGCTGTAATTCTCGTCATCCGAGTCCGACTTGTTCGCCAATTCCTCAATGGTGCGCTTTGGTCGGGGCATGATGTGTCGCGATCGGAGTCGTAAAGAATGACTTCTTTTCACGAGTGACCACGTCAGCAAACTCAACATAGTACGTGGGCCAGCAGATAGGGACCACGTATAGAAGAGGTATGATTACTTGGTTTTATCTGTGCCTGAGATAAAGCCGACGAAGATGTGAACGGTGACTTACCAAGAAACAGTGTGCTTAATGGGCCGGTGAGAGGATAAAACGGTAATGAAGCCCAAACAAGCACCCTTCCCCTCAAACTAGAATCTAAGAGACAATATCATAAACAGCTGTAATTGTCTAAATATTAATCAGACATTGAAACATCAACCTCGGAGATGTTACGCCTGGCCGACGGGTTGCAAGGTAGTTCTCGCACGGGGTCGACGGCGAAGCGCCAATGCGCGCGGGTCAGGTCGAGTGAGGTAAATCTCCCTAACCAACTGCAGACGCGTCACTTGCAAACACTTTTCACAGAACGGAGAAGTGAAGCAAATGTCAATAAAGTCTTGCTGGCAGATGAATGGAGCACCTGAGAATAGCAGCAACAATGCTCTCAACCAGCATGTCCGCTCCAATATTAGATAGACCCTGTGGAATAAGCAATACACCGAAAGGGCGGAAAGACTCGCGACACCTTTTTGCTTGCCGGCACCAGCCACACATAACCACAGCCGCGCTCTTGCGCCACAACTAGTCCTGTTGTAGACTAGCGGCATGCCGTTGACCAGCCCATTTCGGCAACGCACGTGCCGTTCTGGGCCTTGAATGCTCCACGGCACCACACGCTCACTTTGCGGTAGGGAAACAGTCGCTTTTTGGATGCTGTTTGTGCTCTCATCTTCCTGTCCTTGCCAGACCCCCAACCACCGTATAGATTGTCCGTAAATCGCATCATAAATGCTATTAAGGTCAAAATGGATGTCTGAGTTCACTGTCACCTGCTCTCAACCCATTTTCTGCGATGGTTGGCTGTCCGTAGGAAGTCGGTCAAATGAAGCAACATAGCGATGTCAGGAACAATCAATGATAACCGTCATGTTCATCGAAGCTGATCGTCTCTGGATTTTCCTCCCCGCATGTTCCTCATCGCTTATCGATTAATGCCATGCGTCATTCGGCGCAGAGCCGCTTGGGGACCACCCAGCGCTTGATATCATGTGACGGCTGAGTCAGTGATGTTTCTCGTCCTCATTGGCAAATGATGTGTGCCTGTTAAGCCTTCAGGATATACATGTCATATATATTTCAGCAAAGTGGAAATAAAACCGGAAAGAACATCAGAATGCTCTTTCGCTCGGTAGCTCAGCGCCTCTCAGTGTCCTCCTCTCTTCTCCTCAGATCTGCCCCATCCGGTCGGAGAACCTTGACTTCAACACGGCCCGGGTTCAATGCTTCCAAAGGATCCAGTGCTTACAGAGAAGGGGTCAGTGTTTCCCTCTCCTTGTAATTTCTCTAGGTGTCAGACTTTTATGTCTGTATGCTTCTACGTTGATCGCCCTGGGACGGACAAAAAGCCTTCACTTGAATGCATTGCGCGGCTGGCAAGCTAACTGAAATACCAGCTCGCTAAATACAAGACCTTCGCGAGTCCCTTCGCCAAGGTATTCTTAGGAGCCATTTTCACCTACCAGGTTATTTACTGGACTTGGTTGAAGCTTGAGATGGATGAATCCAAGTTTGAGAAAAATCGTAAGTTGCGCTCGCTTGCTTTGCCGTCTGCTATGGTGCACCTCTAACGATCAATAGAGGAGGTCGCGGCTCTGGAGAAGAAGGCAAAGGAATTGACGAATGCACAAAAATGATGATATCTCTCCTCCAGTACCTTTCTTGGGGCTTTTGTTCTGCCTAATTGTTTATTTACTGTACTATATACCTCAAATGTCCCACGGAAATATCTTCGATGCTCAGCTGGATGTTTGATTGCGCTAAAGGTATTTCCACCTAAGGTATTTCGTTCATTTCTGCTTTGAGAATGGCTATATAACGTGAAATCATGTATAACTTGTGCTTCATACATGCGATGAACATCACAGGAAGGACCTGTCCTTGATGCTGCCATTCAATGGCTGCCATCTGGTTGTGAAGGTCCTAGTCGGTTATCGAATTTGACATGACGGGCCACCTACGAGCTCCCTGCCTGTGGTAGCGGTATACCAGCGCCGATTCTCCTCTTTGATTTGGATCCGTCCTCTGCGTGGGGCCGATATGGATCTACCATCGGTCCAAACGTGTCAACTTTTCGTTTTCGCGATTGCCTAGGTTCGGAAGAATCCTCCAGTTTCAAGGCCCTCTTCGAAGGAGAATTTTTCTCGCAAGAAACCATTTGCTGCGAGATCTCCTGGTCGAGAGCCACCCCATCATCCTCAAGGACAATGTCCGATAAAAAATCACTACAGCCATCTTCTTCATTCTCAGAATGGTCATCTGTGGAAAACGGGCTCTCATTCGCGTTTCCGCCGGCCATGCTTCTGCCCTTTGATTCTTCGTGTTCTTGATCCTCGTTCGAATGGCAACAGTGCACCCAGTCTCCGATCCGTTGCCCCCTACGGAAGTGCTCAAAATCGATATGGTCGAAGCGCTCATTCCACGCTTCCCGACCCTGGCTGTGAAGAGGAATAATCTCCCTACAGAAGCCGCACCAAAATCGGGACTGCCCGTTTTCGCCCACGCGGTTATTCGCGACCGCAACTCGCACCCCTTCATTATCGACGTGATGATGCGTTTTCAAATGCTGCACGAAGACCTCTTGACGATAATACCACCTCACGTATCGTTTGCCCTTGGTCGGATCGCACAAGGTACAGTACCAGCTTTGGATGTGATAATGCTGCGAGTTCTCGTGCCGTTTCCAGTCTGCCTTGCTGCCGAATGTCTTGCTGCACTTTGGAAATGTGCACCCGTAGGGTCGCTCGTGGCGTTTCTGGTGTTTCCTAGAGCACGGTGTTAAATAAGATAGGGCAGTCAGGAAGGTCAATACGTACTTCATTTCGCACCGCAGACGTGTTCGTTTCGCGCAGACTCCGCATTGGATCCAGTCTTTCTTGTCCGGTTCTCGATCAGGCACTTGGGACGTACTGTCGCCAGATGGCTCGGGCTTTTCTGAGAGACAGTCCAAAGCCGCAGTCAATATCAGCTGGAGAATTTCCTTCTTCGGACTGCACAGCTCGGTACTAGGACTGGTGAGGTCGTCTACTTCGTTTGCCGGCTGAGAATGCCGTCGGTGGTTGGAGTTCATCATTCTCGTCAGTGCATTGATCATGTTAGTCGCAGCGTCCGCTATGAACTCTTCCACGTACTCGTTCCTCTTGCTGTCTTGGTGCGCGATTGGCGGCTTTTGGTCTAGTGCTGAAGCTAAGTTGGGCGTCCCGAAGCTCGGCAGTTGAACTGTATCTGAAGTAGCCATGCGTGCGGCATCCACGGATTCTTGATCTCGTCCCTGTTCGCAGGTGTCTTTGATCGGGTTCAAGACGCGATCTTCGTTCTCTGGCGATCGTGCTCCGATGAGCGTCTCGTTTGCGACGTCTGGAATACACGGAGTCTGACTCAGATCTTCCATCTCGCAGTCCTGTTCAGTCGGCAGCTGCATCTCTGGAGATTGGGGTCTCTCAAACATGGGGTCAACTGCAGGAAGTGTCAATTCACTCGCTTGCGTGATACTATTGTACCACTCGTGCGACCTAGATTTACTTTAATATCATATCGGGGAGTTAGATGGCCGACTGGAGTGAGCTATCTCACCTCTTCAGGAGCTCATCGGCGTCTTCGTCTCCGTGCATTCGCAAAAGGTGTTGACGGAAGTTATCCAGCCGAGGCCATCTCTTGTGTCTCCGGGGACAATTGCGACCAAAACACAAGTATAGAACCTTGGGTCCACGTTCCGGTTCCTGTTTGTGGACGCATTTCTTGTGCCGCGCTAGGTCGTTGATGGTTCCGAAGCCCTGCTTGCGGCTACAGTTGGGTTGATCGCATTTGTACAGCTTTCGATGTCTTGCCTCGTGTTTCCTGTGCCCGTCAGTCTTAGCATGGTTTGCACTGCGCGTGGCTGTGAAGACAGACCTTTTGTCGGATGGACATTTTCCTTTCCAGTGGCAGTCGGGATAATCGCATTTAATCTCATCACCGCAAAGCGCATTGTGTTGTTCTGTCTTCTCCCCAACCTCACCATAGCCTGACGGTCCCAGATCGAACGTCGACGTTCTATCGTCCAGTTCATACTCATGTGGTCCCAAATGAGGACTGCAAGCCGAGTCTACCGCGAAGGAAGATGCAGCTATCGAGCGCGTGGTGCAGCTTCGACTCCCGTAGCCTGAATCACCCGACGCAAGCCCGTTGCACTGGCTATCATTTTCCGAGGGGTTGCTGTATTGTCCGGTGGAACACCGGCGGCCAATGTAGTCATTGATCTGGTAGGGCTTTCCCATGGGCTGCAGATTGAAAGCCGACGGGTTGAGGGGGACTCCAGTCACCTGGAGCGGATTCCAAGCATCCTGATGATTGAACAACTGAGGCGTATGGTACCGGTAGTAGTCCAAGTAGTTCAGAGCCGGAGACAACGACGAGGGCGACGCGTGATTGCTGCCACATGGAAGCCAAGGGTGGAGGATGGATGAATGTTCATGAGGGAGAACAGCCGGGTCGGAGCCGAATTGAATACCCAGAAAAGAGGCCGGGTCGCCTAACGCGATGTGAGAGGAAGCTGTCGAGCCGTCCGTCGGGTGATCGCCAGGCGAAGCATTCGGCATTATCCGAGTCCCCATGATGCCCTGGAGGACATCATTGGAGTTGCCCCATTTGAGGTTACCAGAATTTGAATCCTGGGCGTCATTTGATATACAGTCAGCTTGTCCTGTTTTATTTGCTCTTCGTTATATGTTCTCCTCGCAGTGAGAGGTGAAATGACTCGTCCACAAAGAGGGTATGAATGATTACATACACTCATAGCTGTGAAGGACGGTCAGAATCGCCCTATCGGGAATATGGACCGAGCGACGAGTTTCAAAAAGTCCAACCAGTCAAGCTGACAGTCTGAGGGACCGTGTCACGCTGGGACTCAGCGAGAGTTCATATAGATAGTGGGAAGTGGAGCATAGGGACACCGAGAGCTGAGAATCCAAATGCAGGGGGTTCAACCAGACTGCGCTATTTTCTTGCCCTTCTCAAAACGATAATCTGAGCTAACGATGGGGGAGAATCGGCACGGACTAGTGGAAAAGATGAAAAGAAAATAGAAGTGCTTGGATACTATAATATCGTTCTCTGTGTGGGTCGGGATGGATATACGAGTAGTATCTGTTAAATGCTTCAAGTCAAGCTACTTAGCAAGAACTAGCAGCAAGGGCAAGAGAGGGAAGACTAGCGACCGCAATAAGTCGGCAATCGAGAGGGACAGCAGGACAAGTGAATCACAGTTGGGCTGAATTGATCGATGCGGCCCAGGAAAAAGAAACGTGATAGTTGATGCAGGCGAATGTCACTGAGCAACACAGATTTGGAAGGCAAGGAGAAAGAGAACTTCACGCGATTAGATTATCAACAGAGGAGAGTGTGAGTGATGGGGGGAAAAGATCAGAAGAAAACCGGATGGAAGACCATTAATACTTTAAACAAGGCTGTCAAGCTTTCTGTGTTTGAGATGTGTCTAAAAGGTAGAGAACGACAACAGCAGCAGCAGTAGCAGCAGCAGGCAAGCACACCGAATGATGCTGTATGCCTAATGCTGTATGGATCAGAAGTCTCGATCTGCAGGACAAAGAGAAGATCCGTCGGAATTCAAGAATTGATGAATTGAGATGATCGACCTCCCTGTCATTTCCCACATGGTCGAGATATTATTTGGCTGCAAAAGAGGCACGACGTCGTGCCAGCCTGCCAGGAATGATGGAATGTGCGCCCTTTTTCGGAGAAACAATAATCACACTGAGATACACTTCGAATAAAAGACATTCCGGGATCAGAACTGCCACATAAACTTCGTCATCCGCATTCCTTTCCTCACGGTTCAAGACTCCTCGAGTACATCGTTATCGACTGCTGCTTACAGCCGAGAGAGAACGCGCGCGTCCTAGCTATGTAAGGCTCTGAGTTGGAACGAGAGATCACTCCCAACACTGTTCAAACGTTGAAGAATATTAACTTGTCAATGGCCAGTGCTCCCTGCGTACATACTCCACAGAAATTGTAGAGTATCTAATGCAAATACCAAAGAACAAAAAGAAAAGAGAAGCAAAGAAAAGCTACAAATGAGTTGAAAAGTCGACCACGCCAGTTGGCCTGACTGATGGTGGCAGTGCCTGTAAGGGCTTGCATAGACTTTCTACTGTTGGCATGATCATCGCCATTATTTATGCAGAAGGCAATAGAGAGGATCCACAGGGTTGTCCAGTCGATAGATAAACGAAACAAGTAATAATAATAATGACGTGATGCTTCTGATTGATCTATCTGTTTCTCCCTTTGCCCTTGCAATTCTGGACACATTTTACAACATCCCTCGAAGATAGTACACTATCTAGATAGATACTCACCGATGGAGAGGGTGGGGGATTGTCTAGTGTATCTCAAATGCAGCCTCAGATTTTTGGGGCCTTTTTTTGACTCGTCATATCTCGACTTGCATTCATTCATACCTAACAGGCTTTCAACCGACCCACAGCCTGATGTAGCAAAGAGGTATGGGAACTTCCGGATACTCTCCAGTACATCCCACAAAGTAAATAATAAGAGATACTAGAAAGATATTAAGGAGAGAAGCTGATGGTATATATACATCGATCGCGTGAAAATGTCTCATCCTGGCTCATTTCAAACGCCAAAACCTCGTCAATACAAATTCCGTCCAGATCGTTCAAGAGAAGACAATGACCGTACAGTTCCAGGGGCGCTTCAATCGATTCTCATGAATCTCATCAACAATCGAAAGCGGATAGAGAACGCAATTCCGCTAACATAATGAGACCCTGTCCTAAATATGGTCGAATGCTAACAATGGTACGGTCGGGGTATCATGCACCAAAAAAAGGAAAAGAAGAGGGAGAACGGAGAATTCAGGAAGAAAGGAACCACAGACTGAAGCGCAAAGACTCAAGGTGCGTAATGTTAAATCGGCACAGCGGATGATCCTCGTTGGCTTAAAATTGGTGAGAATAACCCACGGAGCCATCGTATGAATACGACGTGGCTTGCGCGATCTGATAGGCCTGGTCGTTCTCTACCGGAGGGGGTGACATATGCAGTGTGCCCTGAGGATCATACGTCGCGCGCATCTCCGTGGGTGAGGTGCAAAGCTGGTACGGATTCTGCAACACAGTCAACTCCTGAGTCGTTATTCTGGGTCGCGGCCCGGCGTTCAGCAGTGGCGGGTAGGTGACAGAGCTCTGATGAACAGGCACAAAATGCTGCCCCGCGAGGCCCGCCTGCGATCCGTATGCAGTGTACGCCTCTGGTTCAGCGGATAGAAACCCTTGATGTAGGGTTGTGGAGGTCGGTGGGTAGGTTGGATTCAAAAGCCCAGCAGGCGGCTCGGATCTTCCGGCTTCGAAATTTATTGCCACGTCCGGTTCGACTTTGATGCTATTCAGATCAGGTGAAAAGCTGGTGGCTTCCTGTGCGATCGAGCCAGGGTAACTGACTGCTTTCGGGGCAACGCCAGCATCTACGTAGGAAGACAGATGTCGTTCTTGCACTAGTGCCAGAACAGGCATGGCAATCTGCTCCATGTGCTTGGCCAGATGAACGGTAAGCTTTTTCCAGCTGCTGCAGACGTTACCGCAGAAGCGGCAGGGTTCGTCCCGCGGTCCCTTGGAGGTATCATGATGACACTGGTCCACGAGCTCCCACAGCTGCTCAACTTCTCGCTCGCGAATGCTTTCTTCCTGTGCTCCAGATGCGACCGGGTCTTGTCGGCTACTAGCGCCCACACCTTTCGTCTTCGTCTTCTTGATCTTGGGCTCGGACATCTTATGCTCTCGGACGAGATGCTGTACGAAATTGTCCTTGCGATAACATGTGTGATGGCAATCATGAACGGTGCAAGTCCACCATTCAAGTTTCCTGTGCCGTTCACTCTCATGCCTAACCCAGTCCGCCTTTCGCTTGAAGGACTTGGGCTCGTTGCAGTGCGGAAATGTGCAAGTAAACGGCTGCACATCTTCGTGGACATGCTTCGTCCAATCGGATGGCTTCTGGAACCTTTTCACCCTGAAACATATGGGGCACTCGAATTCGGCCGGGAGGCGCTTCACAGGCGGTAATGGGACGCCTGGGGGAAACTGCGCCGCTGTCACAGCATTCTCTCCAAGCGCAGGAGGTTCATCATCCAGTCCGCTGTGCCCGGTGACCTGGAACTGGGTATGTGCAGCTTCGGAGTCATGAGGTCCAGCGCGCGCGGCCAGTATCACGGCTTCACCACCCTGTGCGAAGCAGAATTTACCCGCCGAGCAGGTCTTCTTACTGACGGCATGAGTATGGTTCATTTTATGCTCAATCAACTTCTTGTATCTGCGAACCTGCTCATTCGCGAGACGCTCGATCAGTGCAGGCTCCAGACGAGGATTCAGCTGTGTGATCTGAGCCTTGAACCCTTCCGTTGTAGGCACAGGCAGACGGGCGAGAACCGGAAATTCCATAACCTGCTCTTTCTCGGCCGTATCATCGTCCTCCTCGTCATCATCTCCTGTCTCACCAGGCTGGCTTGACGCCGCCTGCTGGAGACCATGATTGTCAGTCGTCAAAGTTTGTGAGTGGCCAATTGTGGGAACGGGCGGCCCTCCGTGACTGGTAATCAAGTCTAATAGACCCGGTGCAGTAGAGCGCGATATCTCACTCCGACTGCGCGTCCGCCCAAACTTGTTCCATGGATTAGACGTTGAGTGTGGCGAGACGGTGCTCAGGGAGTCTCTGCCTCCAATAGCCGCCATTTGGCCGGCAATTGCAATGACGGCGCCGCCTGTACTAAGGCTGGGAGACTTTGGGCTTCGCCCAAGGCTGAGTTTCCGGTGAGGGAAACTGTCCTTCCTCAAAGGCGGGCTTTTGACCTCGTTGTTCATGGTTTGGTTTTCAACGAGGGACAAGTCTGACAGCGGTCTCTTTAATACGCTGATCGATGGTTTCCGTGGGAAGAACTTCATCAGGCTACTCCGCCTTGCGTGTTTCTTGCTCGAGTCCTGGCTGATAGACAGATTGGCAAATGAACCCCCCGCACCAATAATACTATTCACTTCCATTTCACTCATAGGCCGCGTACCCCAAGTTGCATAACGGGACACGGCATCTATTTCTCGAGCGCGTCGTTGGTATTCCATCATAGCGGCGCTGGCGGTTGATGGCTGCATCTGAACTGATCTGGGAGTAGAGTCGTGATCCGGGTCCTGCCATGGGCGAGTTGCCAGGAATTGATGTGGTGCCGGCTCTCCGTCCACGGAGTTGAGCTGGTCCTGCACGGGCGAACCTGCAAGATCTTCTTGAGCCCATCTCGCTTCATTGACGCTGGCTGCGGGCGATCCTGAATCGCTTGCTTCGACCTCGGAGTCATTGCCACTGAGCTCCTCGTCGCTGCTCTCATGGATTAACGCACCAGGTCCAGGGATGGCCGGCCCGTAGGTTCCAAATTGCAGGTTGAAGTAGTCCTGCTGTGGCGCAGGGTCTCCGGCGCTCCTCGCCCTGCGTCGTGTGCCAGCTGGTACTTTACGGCCGCGGGTATGAGGGCTGTCGTCTCCATCTTCACTGCCGGCGACGCTTACTGTAGCGGACCATGACCGAATATCCGCGTTCTTCTCTTCAAGCCGTCGCTGTGACTCTACTTCATTGGGACTGAGGATATACGCGTCATCACGTGATGTAGGGGCGACACCGGCATGGCCAGTGACGCCATCGGGAAGCCAGGAACCATCGTGCGTGCGTGCGATCGCTTGTCGAGATGTCTGCCATGAGGTATTGTGATCCCCATCCTCTGATTCTCCGCCAGGCGAAAGGTGTGTGGAAGACTGACTCGCCTGCCGTCGAACGGAAATTGTCTCTCTGACTGGGGAATCTCCACGCGAGTAGCTTTCGACCGTAACAATTGGGCTTCTTGCTCTGGAAGCATCCGACGAGGGATGAACATTCAGGTTGTTGCCCAAGGGAGCCGTGACTACGGTGAGCATCTGCCCCGAATGCGATTGGGATTCATTGTTTCGTTGATTGGTCAAGTCAGACGCAGGACTCGGGTGGTTAGTCCGGTCCGGGGTCAGGAGCTGAGACGTGACCATGGTTGGCTGAGAGAGGGCTGCCGATCCTGAGTCCACGGATGAACCCACATTATGTGGCCATGCATCAAGATATGACTGCAATTCCATATCTATACTTCCCGGCGGTTGATCGCCGTTTGGGGAAGCATGGGCACTCAGGTCACTCGAAAAGTCGTCGGCGGGACTCAGAAAATCCGAATAAGACGTCGGGTAGCCAGCTGTTTCAGCACCCTGCGCAGAATCGCTGTTCACAATGTGATTGTAAGGAGAGGTCGAGACATCACGCAAGTCTTGCTGGCCAGGCTCCGGGGTCAATCTGATACCTGAGGATTTGAAAACGTCTTGCTCGGGGTCCAACGGAGCGGAAAGATAGGGATCTGAGAAGGTTGCGTTTGGAAACCCCATGTCGGTCGGGGATTCACTGCGGACCAGCTGGGGAGATAGCGTCGACATGATTGCAGTGCTAAAATGTGCTTTGCAGAGACCTTGCTCGCTTCCAGGTTGATCATAAAGCTAACAAGTTCAAAGATGACGCTCTCTGGGGAAGCATGTCTCTGGATTTATTAAGAGTCAACTTCAATGGTCATTGTAAGGACGACGCTGGAAGTGATAGAGTAAAGTGTACCTTATACAACAAGAAATGAGCAGGATTATAAGTTGCTCTTTCTATATAGCAGCAACGGTATTACAAGATCAGCCACTTCAATAAGGTAGTTAAAATTGTAGTATTGTAGGTCAGATCAGTCGCAAGAGTGTGCTCAGGTCAAACCAAAGCAGGACCGAACTATCAGTAACGGACGACAATGCGGGAAAGAGAAGAAGTGAGTGGAGTTATGAAAAGAAAGAAGAATGAAGCTAGAGGGGCAGAGAGAGACAAGTCACACTCTGTGCCTGAAAGAGGCTCTGCTCAGCTCAGTTGCCGCAGCTGGGGGGGAAACAGATGGGTGGAGGGGGAAGTCGGAAGGTGAGTAGATAGAGGATTACAAGTACAACAGGGGAACAATAGGGTAAGAAAGAAAGAAAGAAAGAAGACAGAGATACAGAGGCTAGATGACTGACATAATAATAATTATAACAAACTACCTTGGTTATTACCCTGGTGCATAGTATTATTACTCACTGTTGTAGCCACACATTTCCCTGCCAGCCCTGGTGAGGAAGAAAGCCTTGCGAGTTGCGGCTGAGGAAAGGGGAATTGCTCAACAACTGAGCCACAGCTGGCACACGATATTTGCGGCAACGTAGAGAGGTACCTAACCTCTCAAGAGATTTATAATTAGCACTTTCATCGCATCATGTAAATAGCGACTCGGACGATAAGACGAAGAAGCCAAAACCATATTAATACTACTGGTCTTTGTACCTGTTTTCGAGAAGTCAGATGGCGCCGGCGTCAGAGGGTCGGCGCATCGTCAGCCAGTGAGGGCAAAGCGGGGTTTGGCTATCAGCTACGAGATAGGTGGATATCTTAGATTATCTACTCTGATCTGTGTCCGGGTAAGAGAAGGACTGTTTATGTTGGGCGCGCTTGAGAACCATTGAAGGGTTAAGCTATTCATTTTTCTGCCTGGTATCATTTGCAAGACACTTATAATATGCGAATACTTGCAAGAGTATACATGCGTTGGAGGGGTATCTACTCTTTACTAGGTACTATCTTCTCTCTAAATAATGCGCACGGCCCGGAAGGTATGAACAGGAAGGTGGCCCGTGATCTTAGGCTCTAACTGCTAGAACCGGTTCGACTGCTTGAACTGCATCTTGCTGATCGATATTTCATTCTGTGTATCTAGTAAATACTAAGCTTAGACTAGACTAAACCCATGGAACGATTATTCGGCGAGACAAGCGGGACAACTCCTGGGTCTATCATACTAAGGTACCCATGGGTCAGTAGCATCCTTATTTTCTCCACAGCTGATGCTGGAGCAGAGAGAGAGATCATCAACCACAGAGGTGAATATGAAACTGGCCCCATATTACTGCTCCCTGAAACTACTAGTGCTACAGTATGAGCTACTTTCCATGGTTCGATAATCTAGGTACTTAACAGAGCATGGAGTACTGTCCTACCTATTTATAACCTAGGTACTAGTACTAGTAGAGCTAGTAGGTCAGCTTCCCCAGCCACAGTTGTCTACCCACCAATCAGACACAAATCTATACAGGCCTAAGGTATCAATATCGCCAGTTAGCCCTGCCTGAGGCTGTGCAGTACTGTGCATCCATGTCTCCATCGCCATCACCTTCTCCCCCTCTAAGCCTCGTTTCACCAACCTCAAAGAAGAAGAATGTTTCTCATCATGCAGTAGACAGTGACCAAGCCCCCATTTCACATTCTATGATATCAATGTCACCCAGAAACCTTTTCAGTTCATCGAGCCCATCCTCCCCTTGTCAGACCTTTGATCAAGCTACGCATAGACAACTGAAGCCACAAACAAGGATTGAAGTCAAAACAAGCTTTTTATGCTCTGAGACAAGCAGTCAGACCCTTCTCGACAAGATGTCCCCCCATGAATCGGCTCTGAGCCTCTGACATCACAATGGGTGGCGGTGCTAGGCTCTGAAACGACGACCACTTCCTATCACGTCCCCGGCAATAGTATGATTCTCTCAGCTGAGACCCTCAGAGTAGCCCTGGAATTTGAGCAGAAGGAAAAGGCAGTGATATGTATTTAAGAGTTTGGAAATATTTGAAACCCTATACACTGTGATAGACAAGGCGGATTTTCTGACAACAGCATAAATAAACGTTCCCTGTTAAAAGACATGTGTACATCTCCCAGACAAAGAACAACCAAGCTCACAGATACTATCATAAAAAAAGCCCGCTGCTTCACGGGCAGTCAGGCATGTCTGAATCCACCGAAACAGCGTAGTTACAAAGTTGAGTTAAGACAAGAGGGTGGACATACCCGAAATGGTCAAAAAGCGAAAGAGAACAACCAAAATACAAAAATAAATAGAAAAGAGATAGAAATGCACGGAGTCTCTCCATCAATCAAGAGACACGGAAATTCAGAAGAAATTGAAACAGAATGATGGTCAGAACAAAGGGAATTAAAACGAAGGAAGGTCAAGGAGAAATGAGCTCCAGTAATCCAGAAGATGACAACACAGAAATAACGGTCAAGCGAAGAATAAAGACAAATATAGAAGAAAAGAAAGTAGAGTCACCCCAACAAAAGATCATCAGACACATAAGCAAATTTCTCTATCAACATCTCGGATCAAATACCTCGAGCTCCATGGCCTCACTATTCATCACACGTGCACGGTATGACCACCGTCAACAACTCCATGATATGAGCAGTTATCCTTGAGCTGTGACTTCCACCGAGCGGAGTGATCCTCTTGAGCCACGACGGGGCGAATCCTCTCCGCTGGCCAGTGTTTCGGTCGACTTCTTAGCAAGTTCCTGAAGACGCGCCATCACAATAGGCGAGTCAGAGTACAAGACAGTCCCCCTTGAGTACGTGCAAGGGCTGGCCTTTTCCTCGTCCTCGGCGAAATCCTCGTGTGCAGCCTCCCGGGTAATCTGGGGGAAAGTACGCAAGATGACATGTCGGCTGGGGTCATTACTGGAACTGACGCTGCCCTCTTTCGGGGCCCCGTATTCGTCCCAGCTGTCATTAGAAACACCTTCGGCATCTGGAGCCGGAAGGCTAGCTAGAATCAGTTCTCGTTCTACACGAGCCAGTCTCCAGGTCTCCGCCGCGAGTTTGACGATTTTGCGCACACCAATGAGCAGGGAATCGAGATGTCGTGGGTCGGCGAAGTGTTTGATAAGATCGATGATCTCATCGACAATCACCGCAGCCACGACGTTGATCGACTGTTTCGCATCCGATGTGGTATACGCTGCCTTCAGTGTCTGCTGTCTCCAGAATGCCTCCCGTCTGACGGACTTGCGACGAATGTCCATTGAAAGCATCTGGAAGAAAGTGTCCGCCTTGTCGTATCGCCTGCCCAGAGTGAACAAAAACGGCTGGAAGATCCGGTAGGTCAAAGTTTTCGAGATGACATGCTGTACATATGCCGAACGCAGTTCCCGCGATGCTGGCGTATTATCAAGGAACGACGGTAGCTCCGGAGGAATCTTAGACAAGATGTCTTTGGGAGGATCAATCGGGAGGTACGTGAAATGCTCCTTGGACAAGGAAACGATAAGACGAGAGAGCTGGTCGAAACAGTCCAAACTAGATTTGAGATTCTTATCAGAACAGGTACATTTATAGCGTTACCGACATCTCATCGTGATCATTCTATAGACGAAACAATAGAGACAAAGAAATTGTCAAAAGACATGTATATGCGCTGAAAAGAAATCGACAAAGGAAAGAAGAGACATAAAAGAGCGTGGAGTTTCAGTCTGGTCAAAAGAAGAAGAAAGAGTGGTAGAAATGAAGATGAAAATAGGGCCGAAAGAGAGAATATAGACAGAGAGCAAAAATAAATAGATGAAAAGACAGTTCTGCCGCTGATGAGATGGTGTCTCAATGCACTAGGTCACTTACAAGAATGAGTCTCCCTTGGTGCTCTTAAGGTCAGTTGCTTCTCCAAGACTGTGGAGTGTCTTCCTCAGCCTGTCACAATCCTTGCCCAAATTGTTGATTGTGGTGCGCATGCCCTCAACTGCACGTTCAAGCTGTTGCTCTTTGAGCACATTATCCTCCTCCAGCTTCTTGTTCTCACGCTCGCAGCTGGCCAGCTCTTCACACTTCGCAGAAATCCGAGCCTCCAACTCAGTGCGTTCTTCAGTCCACTGTTGTTCCTTTTGTTCCAGCTCCTTCTGCTTCTCATCGAGTGCGTCCTTTGTGGAGTTTAATTCGGTCTGCGTCGACTCCAACTCGGCAACTTTGGCATCAAGCTCGGTCTTTGTCGACTCCAATGCCGTGACTTTGGAGCCAAGCTCCTCCTTCGTGGAGGCCAGTTCGGCTTCCTTCAATCCCAATTCAGTCACTTTAGAGTCGAATTCGGACTGCAGGGCATCGTGCAATTCCTGTAGTTGTTGTTTCTCGCTCTCGTATTCTGCCTTCATCGTCTCTTGCTGGTCGAGTAATTCCTTCTCCCGAGCTTCCAAAGCTTCCGCTGCCGCTTTCTCGTCTTCGGCCTTGATTTCCTCAAATAGTTCAGTCAACTCTTGCTTCTGATTCGCAAGAGCTTCCGCTCTCTCCTCCTTCAGACGTTCCAATTCTTGCTCGTGCGCCTCCTGCGCTTCTTTGATGTTCGTGTTCAGAGCGGCGATCTGCCCTTCCAGTTCAGACTTCGTTTGCGAGAGCTCCTGGTTGGTCTTTTCCGACTCCGCTAGGCTCTCTTCAATGTCCTTTCTCTTCTCCTCGAGGTTGCCTAGTTCCATTCTGAGTTCATTTATGGTGTTCTTCAATTTCGTTGCCTCCTCCGCACTCTCGTTCGCTGCCTTTCTCATCTGATTCTGCAGCGCTTCGATG